ACACACACACACACACACACACACACACACACACACACACACACACACACACACACACACTCAAAGAATGTCCAAAAGTAAGGCAGAAGAATACAAACATGTTCATCAGTGTTGTATCAGATGGGATTATGGTTCTACCAGCACCTGTGTATATCTAAATGGTTTTATGCATTTATGCTAGAAGGATTCCCACTCTATTACTTATTTTATGATTACATAACATAGATTTGCTGACCAGGACTAATTCTATGGTAGCATTAATATGATTTTTTTTTCTAGTATTAGGGAACTATTTAAACCAGCTAACTTAGCATGTGCTTTTTTAGTGTTATTTTCATAATGAATGTGGTGATCATGATCCTATTTAGCGCTACTGATGTCTCACCATTAATTCAATTCAATTCAATTCAATTAGTTTATATAGCACCAAGTCACAACATACGTTGTCTCAGGGCACTGTACATGAAAAAAGAACACTCTAAAGAAGAAACCAGCAGATTGTGTTGAATCACTTCATCACAGTCTCCCATCCTGAGCAAACGGTGGAGAGGAAAAACTTCCTGCTAATCAGGAAGTTTTTCCTCTCCACCGTTTGCTCAGGATGGGAGACTTCCTGCTAATCAGGAAGAAACCTCCAGCAGAACCAGGCTCAGGACAGTCGGCCATCTGCCTCGACTGGCTGGTTGAGGGACAGGAAAGAGACACAGCCAAACACAGAAGAACTGGTCCAGGAGCACCTTCTTCTGGAAGAGACACAAAAAGAAAAAAAWATATAAAAAGCATGTTATTGATAGAAATAATTAGAATAAATATGTAGATAAGATAGACTAAAGACAACTTCAGGTATTAATAGATTTTTATTGATTTAATTGATTGTTAAATGCACAATTTTATTTTGTTTTTCTTATTGATATGTTTGTTTTTTGTGATTTTTGTGGTGGGCAATCAATTTTATGTTTATACTGTGATTAAAATCCTGTCATTAAGTTGTTCTTAGAGYGACTTTCAGCTAATGCCTAGGTCTACTGTATTTAGATGCATGAGTCACCCGGGTAGGTGATATCCCATTCTTCAAAGATGTCATTTTCAGAAGGTGTGACTGAGTTCTGAAGAAAATATGTCAAAACTACTGTATTGTACACAAAACTGCCAATGACCTGATGTCCTGTGTATCTTGTCCCAGCTGTAAAACTTGTAGTAATCCTTGCATGTGCAATTAAATGACTAATTTAAATACTTTCAATCAGTTTTCTGTAAATAATTTAGGCACACACTTSAAACACTGTACTTCTTTAAGGATACTTCTCTGCCCAGTCTTGGCCTTTTTTTAGAGTAATTATACTTACATCTTTCTAAGGAGAAAATGTACTAGCTCAAACACAAAACTGCTGCACAGTTGCACATCAATGCAATAGTATTTTAAAACCTTTGAAAACAAAYGTGGCTATTGGCAAACTAATTTTTGGATATGCTCACTTTTAGGCACCTCTGTGATGCAAGTTACAGCGACCGAYGCAGACGACCCTACCTATGGAAACAGCGCCAAAATAGTCTACAGCATTTTACAAGGACAGCCATATTTCTCTGTGGACCCCAAAACAGGTGCGGCATAACTGCATGCTTGAGAAAAAAGAAATGTTTTACAGTCAGCACTTGTGTGCTTGCAAGCAGTGTAACTATAAAAGGATGTAATGACTTTGTTGTTGATCTCTTAAAACAAGTGTGTTTCATGCTGTGAAATCTTTGCAGCATGGGGTTTCTTGCAGGGAACAGTCTGTTTTGTTATTTGCACCATATCTGACATCATAAAAGCAAAAAGTGGACACAGTAGATTTATGGCTGCTACACGGTCTAGCACGCAACCCTCTCCTTGTGGACTATAAGTAACTCCTCTGGGAGGTCAGAGAAGACATTTGTAGAGACGTCTTTGGAAAGCTATTGTTTCCTTCCTTCAGAAAAAAAAGGAAAAGAGGCAGTGCTCTGTATTTCAAAGTCCATCTTTTGTTTGAGAGGCCTCTTCTAGAATCTATTAAATGTTAATACACCTTCTAAAGCGCAAGGCATATAACATTTATATGATGTGAAATATGTGGTGCTGTGAATGTGTGTAGGTCTTTTTTGTTTGTTTCTTATCTTTCTATGTCTCCCAGAAACACATGTTCTGTAGGCGCTCAAGCAACTCAAGTTTACCAGGCTTGCCTTCTGCTCCTGCTTCTTTTGGTTAACAGGAACAACAGCTCTCTTGTATGATTTGATTCATTGGTATCYGGGACAACGGTTGGTCCCTTTGAGACTGCACCACCCATGTAAAACATGAATTTTCATGCTGAATGAGCAATGCCAATGAATAGCTGTATATTTTGACTTTACCTTGAGGGAGAAATAATGCGGTTGGGGATTAATGGAACAATGGTACAATGGTTTTGGTGGGGCAGAAGCAATGAATGAAAAWCGGGCCCACATGTACTGTGCCACCAACCGTACGTTACTGCAGACAAGATCTATTTTAAATCATGCCTTGGCTGTAAAGAATGATTATTCCACAGTTACTTTATTTTCATTCTTCCATAAACAATGTTTTTTTTTAATTTTATTATTATTTCTTTTTTTTTTTTTTGGGTAAGATCAGGTGGTGTGCTTTTCTTGAGCTGAGTCAGCACCTTGTCTGCATTATAATGAGGAGCACAGCGCACAAAGGACAGGGATGGGATGGAAGGCCCAGCCAGCTGCACTTTTCACACCCCACTAAATTACCCGCATGTAAAAATGGACACAATTAGGCCGCTGTTTTCATATCAATGGCAAACTGACCTCCTCTCTAAGATTAGGACAAAAAAAAACCCAGTGGTCAGTAGAACATGTGCACAGACAGAGAGTACCACTTTTATGTGATCCTTTATATGCTATAAGCTCAGGTTTTGAAGCAGCTTTGCTGGCATGTTGCCACACTTGGTCCCTTTGACCAAGTGTGGGGGTGCTCAAGTGTGGCATGTTGCCACACTTGAGCCCCCCCCCCCACCCCCCCAGAGAGATGCAACAGCTTTTGCAGTCGATTAGCCTGCTTACATATCCTTTTACCCACATGTATCCAAATCCTAATATGCCTAAATTGCACACCTGACACCTTCATGGGATATCAAGAAATTGTTTGCAGGGTTATATTAGTACACACACAAGTCATGTTCCAAGTTGACTTTGGAAGCCTAATGTGGCAATAACATGTTTTACAATAGGGAAATGTCATTATAGGACAGAAGGAGATAATACCATTGGTGTAAAAAGAATTGCCTCAGACTATTTTTTTCTCCCCCCGCCTAACTGGGTTTGATAATATAATCTCAAGCCTCACAACGACTGGAATGACGAACCTGCCTGACTGCTAAGAAATTGCATTAAATGCTAAACTGACCACAGGAACAGCGTAAAGTACTTTCCAACCATGGGAGTCGAAAAGTGCTGATATAAGATGTTGCCTTTGCAAAGCAATCATAAACTGTTATTGCAGGCCCCAGAAATATCTCAGTAAGTATTCCTTATGCCTCACAGCTGTTCAATGAAATTACAATACCATAAAGTCCCTTATCAAACTAATAGAGCACCTGCGGATGCTACCTTAATGCTGGAGCTTGATGCCTCTCAGTAATACAAAATGCTGCATAGTTGTTTAGCAAACCTCTCGCTATATTAGGCATTTTATACCTTAAGTGTTAAAAATGTTGTAGCCTGGATACTTTCTAAAATAAATGTGTGTTATATATTAAAATAAATTAGTGGATAAAATGGCCTTACACATTTTTTTTATTGCCATCCCAATTCATTATTTCTAATCATGTATCACCACACTGTAATTGTCATGTTGAATGAATATTCACTGTATGCATTATGGTAAGAACTTGACAGTTGTAAATGTGGGAGCACATAATGACTTTTTGAAAACAGGTCATCAGCTTTTTTTTTTTCCATGACAACAGATTTTACCTTAAACAACTACATCTACTGCAATTATATAATGCAAATATCATTAGAGACAACCACCTGCTCTTCATTTCCATTTAGATTTAAGTGGACAGTATTAACATTGTTAGGCATAACAGTGCATAAATATGTACATTTGTGTTCCCCCAGCTRCCACCTGGAACAGGAAATGATGAAMCAGAGGAGCAGGTGTTTTCTCACTCGCACCTCTTCAGAGCGCATGTGAGAAAATAGTTACAGTAATAGATGCAGTCGAGTTTGCACTTTCAATTTCACATTTCAAGCACAAAGCACCTGTCTGCTCCCACATATTCCTGCGTGGTTTAGCTCCATAACAGTTTAAAATGACACAATGTTGTGAGAGAACCTGCACAAACATTTCAAAACATTGTAAATATTCTAGATTTCCCTCACACTCCAACCCACACCAGCTGCAAATTGGGGTCAGGGATKCACCGAATAATTAGCTTTGCAAGTGGCTCCTAATCACAGTCAACCAGTATGATGAAAAGACTGTCTGCTCTTAGGGCTTTAGAAAAAACATCAGAGAAGATAGACACCATGAAAGAGGATATGTTCCCCCTCTGTCTCATTTGCATTTCCAATACATTTACATAGTGGCTACAATCACTTTACTTTATTAAAACCTAGCATCATATTTTTTTAAGATTGATATAGCTGAGGAAGTTTATCTTTGTGTTTACATACAGCGGGTAAAATAAGTATTGAACACGTCAACATTTTTCTCAGTAAATATATTACTAGAGGTGCTAATG